GCCCCTCCCCATTCCCAGCTGAAGGCATCATCTGTTCCTACTGGAGCTTCCCTCCCACGTGGACCTGCCTGTTTATTGGCATTTGCTCCACCTCACGTCCCTCCCGCCACCCCTTCTCGGGCACCTGAAACTGCCTCTGCTGGAGCGCAGCGGCACAAACACAGCTACTGCTGGCTATTTTTTTTTTTTTTTTTTTTTTTTTTTGAGACGGTGTTAAGCTCTGTTGCCCAGGCTGGATTGCAGTGGCGTGATCTCCACTCACCGCAACCTCTGTCTCCCGGGTTCAAGTGATTCTTGTGCCTCAGCCTCCCAAGTAGCTGGGTGGGATTAAAGGCACAAGCCACCAAGCCCAGCTTTTTTTATAGAGACAAGGTTTCCCTGTGTTGTCCAGGCTGGTCTTGAACTCCTGGGCTCAAGCAATCCACCCACCCACCTCAGCCTCCCAAAGTGTTGGGATTACAGGCTTGAGCCACTGTGCCTGGGCCCTTCATATGTGCTTTTTTTTTTTTTTTTGAGATGGAGTTTTGCTTTTGTTGCCCAGGCTAGATTGCAATGGCATAGTCTTGCTTCACTGCAACCTCTGCCTCACAGGTTCAAGCGATTCTACTGCCTCAGCCTCCCGAGTAGCTGGGATTATAGGCATGTGCCACCCCGCCCGGCTAATTTTGCGTTTTTATTAGAGATGGGGTTTCACCATGTTGGCCAGGCTGGTCTCGAACTCCTGACCTCAGGTGATGATCTACCCGCCTTGGCCTCCCACAGTGCTGAGATTACAGGTATGAGCCACTGTGCCCCGCCTCTTCATTTTTTTTTTTTTCTTACTGATATGGGGACACAGCCCAATTTGTTTTTTCTTTTCTTTTCACCTCTTCATGTGTTTTAATTGAACACTTAACCCTTTGGGCCAGAAGTTGTTCTGAGCACTTGGGTGTGTTAACTCACCTATTTTCCCAACTACAACCCAAAGAGGTAAGTACTATTACTGACCATTTTGTTGTGTTTTGTTTTGTCTATTTCTTTTTTGGAGACCGGATCTCCCTATGTTGTCTAGGCTGGTCTTGAACCCCTGGACTCAAGTCATCCTCCTGCCTCAGTCTCCCAAAGTGCTGGGATTACAGGAGTGAGCGGGCTTCCTAGCCATTTTACAGATGAGGAAACTGAGGCTGGAGAAGTTAAGTGCAGCTGCACTGCGTGCATCAGTGCTGGTGCTAGACCTGACCCTAGAGCCTGTGTGCCCGGCCCTCCCTCACCCCCTGCCCTTCCTTCCTTAGGTAACTCCTTTGTAACTTGGCCTCAGCTTAAATGTCACTTTCTCCGGGAAGTATTCTCTGAGGCCCCTTCTGCAGTGTAAGCGGCCTCCCGAGTGGAGTGCCCTCGGTTCCTCCTGTGTATCTCTTGATCAATTCCTGTTTTGTACTGTAATTGCTTATTTGTCTGTGCTCAGTCCCCTGGGTTTGGCAGGTTTGGGTACCTTTGTTTGCCCTTAAAACTGATCTGCCTTGCCTACAGAAAGCATGCCATAAATGTGAGCTGAGTGGCCTTTCCATGATGCAGAACTGCCGGGAGCTGTAGGAAACACAGTCCCCAGTGGTGGTTTGGCTCAAGAGGGAGGAACGTGAAATCAGAAACAGACCAGGGGATGTCGCCGTGCTGATGCGTGTGTGTGTTTGGGTGTCTCTGCCTCCCCATGGAGGGGTGGTGAAGAGAGCATGGGTTTCACAGTGTGGTGAACCTGGTTCAAATCCCCACTCTACCACCTGCCGCAGTGTTATCTAGAGAAAGTTCTGGAACCTGTTTCTCATCGACCTAAGTTACCTGAAAGGGCTGGCACGACGTCAGTGGGTGCTGCTCCTTCTGCTGCCGCCAGTGTCCTAATGCAAACGGCCTCCACTTTCTGCGCCCCTGTTCCCATCTGCAAAATCAGAGCCTTGGCCAGGGCGGTTCTGAGGCCACCTCCCTGTTTAAGCCACTTTAGCCTGATGGACGCTTCTCAGGTTTTATACTCTGGAACATTTGGATGTAGCTGGGAGCATCTCTCCTGGAGGAAGCAGAGGCTGTTTCACCCAGCAATCCTGCAACCACAGGAAAGCCTGCCCTGGTCAGCAGAAGAGCAATCTGGGAAGCTGTGTATGAAGATGGAGTAGCCCCTACCACAGAGGTTCCTTTCTAAAGCTGCTTGGGAGACGGATTACAGTGGTTCCCTCCTGCTATCAAGGAGGCCAGAAGTGCTGATAAGACCTCACATATTTCTGTGCAAAGCTGATCTCCGTTCAGCTTCACAAGAGCCCTAGAAGCAGTGACCTTGACTAACCACCTGCAGATGCTGGACACAGCGAGGGGCTGTGTTAGTCAGGGTTCTCCAGAGAAACAGCCGACAGGATACACGTGCGCATGTGTGTAGACATATATGTGTATATATGGAGAGATTTACTTTAAGGAATTGGCTCATGGGTTATGGAGTCTTGGTGAGTTCCAAGTCTGTAGGATGGGGTGTCAGGTGGGAGACCCAGCAAAGAACCCTCCTTGCAGTTCACCACAGAATTCTCTTCTGCGGGGGTAGGTCAGTCTCTCGTTCTCTTTAGGGTTTTGACGAGATGGATGAGGCCCATCCACATCATGGAGGACAATCCGCTTTACTCGAAGTTCATCATTTACATCTTTTTTTTTTTTTTTTTGAGATAGAGACTCTCTGGAGTGCAGTGGTGTGATCTTGACTCACCGCCAGCTCTGCCTCCCAGGTTCAAGTCATTCTCCTGCCTCAGCTTCCTGAGTAGCTGGGATTACAGGCTCATGCCACCATGCCCAGCTAATTTTTGTATTTTTATTAGAGACGGGGTTTCAACATATTGGCCAGGTTGGTCTTGAACTCCTGACCTTGTGATCTGCCTGCCTCAATCTCCCCAAGTGCTGGGATTACAGGCGTGAGACACCGCACTCAGACCCGAATCTTTTTTTTTTTTTTTTTTTTAAGATGGAGTCTCCCTCTGTCGCCCACACTGGAGTGCAATGGTGAGATCTCAGCTCACTGCAACCTCTGCCTCCTGGGTGAAAGCGACTCTCCAGCCTCAGCCTCCTGAGTAGCTATAATTGCAGGTGTCTGCCACCATGCCTGGCTAATTTTTGTATTTTATTTTATTTTTTTTTAGTAGAGATGGGATTTCGTCATGTTGGCCAGGCTAGTCTCAAACTCCTGACCTCAAGTGACCCGCCTGCCTTGGCAGAGTGCTGGGATTATAGGCATGAGCCACTGTGTCCAGCCTTAAATCTGGTCATCCAAAAACACCTTCAGGGAAACGTCCAGGATGTTGGATCAAATATCTGGTCACCATGGCCCAGCCAAGTTACACATAAAAGTAACCATCACGGGACTTTCTGTTTAATCCCTACAACCTGGGAGTAGGTGCCAGATTCCCGTTTCAGAGGAGGAAACTGAGGCTCCAAGGAGTGAAGAGGTGTCTCTGAGCGTGGAGCTGTGGTGACTTGCGGTCAGAAGGCAGGGCATGAGAGTGCTGTCTGCGTGTCACCTGAGCGACCAGAGCAGAGGCGTGTGACGTCACCCACCAGAACCAGTGGAAGTATGACTATGCATGGAAGGGGATGATGGGCAGCTGGGGTCTCCCCGCCCCTCAAGATCTGAACAAGAGTGGCTCAAATCTTCATCCCCCCACTGGCAAGTCTAACGCCTCCCCAAGGTGCCTAAGTTGTCTGGGATGCGCTGGAATGCATTTTCTTGGTCATTCTGGCCCCTGAGTTCCTGCCTCTGCCCGGTTAACAATCTTAGCCCATGTGTCCACCCAGCAACCTTCTACCTTTATTTCAAACTCTGCCCACTTCCCGCCCCATCACGTTGCATCTGTGTTTGTGGCAAGCTTTGCTGACGGTCTGAAGAGGTGGAGGGAAATTACAGAACAGCAATGACAGCCGCAAATGGAGTAGTAGGCAGTGTGCTCTTACAAAACCAGCCTCTCCTGGCCGTTTCTACAGCTCTGGTGCCCTGTTGCTAGGTGCTCCACGGCTCTCTTCCTTTCTCTGCCCGCTGTTATCACTACCCTCCTCTCAGAAATGCAATCAAGCTCCTCCCATTTTCTTTTGCAGTGAAGTTCTACCTTCTCTTGTCCAGAGTCCTTATTTCGGCTCCAGGCTCCCGCTGGTGTCCTGAGGGTGGGAAGATTTTCTTTTCTTCCTTTTTTTTTTTTTTTTTTTGAGACAGAGTTTTGCTCTGTTGCCCAGGCTGGAGTGCAATGGCATAATCTCGGCTCACTGCAACTTCCATCTCCTGGGTTCAATTGATTCTCCTGCCTCAGCCTCCTGAGTAGCTGGGATTACAGGCATGTGCCACCATGCCTGGCTAATTTTTTTGGTGTTTTTTTTTTTTTTTTTTTTTAGTATATGTGGGGTTTCACCATGTTGATCAGGCTGGTCTCGAACTCCTGACCTCATGATCTGCCCGCGTTGGCCTCCCAAAGGGCTGGGATTACAGGTGTGAGCTACCTTGCCTGGCATGGACAGATATTTTATGAGAGTTCTTCATACCAAGAGGCAGCCCTTCTCCTCCCCAGGTGCCCTTTCAAGGGTGGTGTCTGGTTCTTTCTCCCATAGGAACGGGAATGGGGCAGTATCTGAGGCCAAATGCAGCATTGCCCTTCCCAGTACTGGCTAGGTGAGGCCACCTCCACCTGTCTGGCCTAAGGCAAGTGCCTGTGACATGGGGACAGATCTCCAGCCACCTCAGCTGCAGATTGCAGGCTGTGATCCCACATAGCCCTGCGATTCATCCGGCTCTGTGACTTGTCCACAGGGAGTGGGTGCCTTGGCCAGGGGCAGGAGGGTCTGGTCTGGGAATTGCACTTGACGCTGGTGTGTCTCAGCCTCTGAGCTCCGGTGAACTCTGACGGCTACCCTGGCATCCATAGTGTGGCCCTCCACTCGGGGTGCTTTGGGTTCTTGGATTCTAAGCCCCTCCTATGCCTCTTAGGCATCTGTTCTCTGTTTCCTCTTAGGGCCACTGAAGACTGGAAATCAGGTGCCCTGGAGTTTAGATTTCCAGGTTCCAGAAACCTTCGGGCTCCTGAGACTTTCATTGTGCGAGAGGCTGGTCCTGTGGGCTTTGAAGGCAAATAGACATGGTTGAAATCCTGACTCTACCCATTGCTGTGGGATTTGGGTAAGTTACTTAACCTTTCTGAGCCTTAATTTCTTAATTTGTAAAAATGGAGATCATAACACCTTCCTCCTGAGGGCTGCTGAGGGGACAAAGACTTAAGGACTTTGTACGACTCTACCTGTTCAGGTCAAAGTGCAGCGAGCAGAGGGGGCTGGCCCTGCCCTCCATCAGCTCTGGCCGCCAGGGGAACTGGGGCCTCACCTGGTGTCCCCACCATTCCCAGACTGGTGTCCACAAGGGCTTGAAAGCACCTCTGGATGCCATTGGGAGATGTGACCTGTGGCTTTAGCCGAGGTCACTATGGAGGCAGTGGGGACGCTATCATCTGTGTAAATAGTTGTAGGTTGACCAGCTGAGTCTCGCAGGTCCAGGAAGCCTATTCATGGAAGTGGGGCTGCTCCAATTCCCTGAATGATACCCTCAAGAGACTCCAATTGAGTATGGGCAGCTGCCCCCTCTGTTGCTCTCTGCCCCCCTCCACCCTCCCTGTGAGCTGGCAAGTTGCACCCAGTGGTGGGGACTTTTATTTGGGTGAATGCTTGAGGTCTTTTAGCCAGAGAGTTTGGATAAGAGAGGGAGGAAGGGAAAAAAACCCAGCTCAGTGCATTCATTCCACAATCTATAATGATCATCTTTTATGTGCCAGGCAGTGCCAGTTTTAGACTTGGGTCCCTGTCCCCACTTCCCCACTCCAGCAAGCTCTCCAACCATCCACTCTGTGTGTGGACTTGACCCCCATGGAGCTCTGACATTCACACCCAAGCCTCTGTTCACTCCAGCTGGCTGGTGTGGGACCGCACAAGATAGAGTAGCTGGATGGTGTCTGGATGGTGTTGGTGTTCTGGCTTTGTGTGACTCAAATGGTTTATATAGATGAGGCCCAGAAAAACAGCAGACCTAGATTTCTCATAGCCCTGGAGACAGAAAGTCTGAGATCAGGGCACCAGCATGGCTGGCTCCAGTGAGGGCTCTCTTCCAGGCTGCAGACGACAGACGCTCATGCACCCTCATGTGTTGGAAAGAGGGTGAGAGAGCTCTCTGGGGTCCCTTTCGTAAGGGCACCAATCCCATTCACGAAAGCTTCACCCTGTGACTTAATTACTTCCCAAAGGCCCCACCTCCTAATACAACTAATACAATCCCAATGGGGATGAGGACTCCAAAATATGAATTTTGGGGGAATAAATACAAACATTTGATTCATTACAATTATCAAGCCATTTGGTGGAGGAGGCTCATTTAGATACAGCAATAGGCTCTTTTGTATGTGGCTAGTAGACGTGTAAATAGGTGCAACCATTTTGGAAAAGAATTGGCATTTTTTAGATGACATTACAATGACGTCATACAACCCAGTGGTCACTCTCCTAGGTATCTACATAACAGAAATGCTTGCCCGTGCCACCAGGAAAGATGTGTGACAATGTTCTTAACAGTGTGGTTTTTTATTGCAAAGAGCTGGACAGCTTGAGAGCTCATTGACAGGAGGGCAGATACATTTTCTCACACAATAAAATATTACACAGCTTTGAACATAAATGAATCTCAGGGTCGTGCTTTTAAAAATAGAAGTCAGGTCAGGTGCGGTGGCTCACGCCTGTAATCCCAGCACTTTGGGAGGGCAAGGCAGGCAGGTCATGAGATCAGGAGTTCAAGACCAGCCTGGCCAACATGGTGAAACCCCATCTTTCCTAAAAATATAAAAATTAGCCAGGCGTGGCGGCATGCGCCTGTAGTCCCAGCTACTTGAGACTACTGCAGCCTGGGCAACGGACCAAGACTCTGTCTCAAATAAAAAGATTAAGATTAATCTCTATCCAGTCCAGGCACCACCGCCTGTAATCCCAGCACTTTGGGAGGCCAAGGTGGGCGGATCACCTGAGGTTGGGAGTTCGAGACCAGCCTGACCAACATGGAGAAACCCCATCTCTACTAAAAATACAAAATTAGCTGGGCATGGTGGTGCATGCCTGTAATCTCAGCTACTCAGGAGGCTGAGGCAGAAGAATCACTTGAACACAAGAGGCAGAGGTTCTGGTGAGCCAAGATCACACCATTGCACTCCAGCCTGGGCAAAAAGAGTGAAACTCAAAAAAAAAAAAAAAAAAAAAAGTCTCCATCTTCATTGAACTTGACCTCACCCACAGCATTTGATCTGGGTCATCACTTCTGCATTTGGGAAACCCCTTCTTGCATCTCTGGAGCTTTCACTCCTAACTCTCTGCTCACCCCAATGGCCACTCTCTGTTGGTCTCAGGAGAATAGCTACTTGGGAGGCTGAAGCAGGAGAATTGCTTGAACCCAAGAGGCAGAGGTTGCAGTGAGCCCAGATCACGCCATGCACTCCAGCCTGGGTGACAGAGAAAGACTTTGTCTAAAAAAAAAAAAAAAAAAAGGCCGGGCATGGTAGCTCAAGCCTGTAATCCCAGCACTTTGGGAGGCAGATGGATCACCTGAGGTCAAAAGTTCAAGACTAGCCTGACCAACATGGTGAAACCCCATCTCCAAAAAATTTTAAATTTTTTGTAGAGAGAGGGTCTCACTATGTTGCCCAGGTTGGTCTTGAACTCCTAGCCTCAAGTCATCCTTCTGCCTCAGCCTCCCAAAGTATTGGGATTATAGGCATGAACACCGAATCTAGCCTAATCTCCCTCCTGCTCACTGTTTCAGCCTATTTGGTCTCTGTACTGTGCCTGGGACCTGCAGGCACTCCAGCAAATACACAGATGATAAGAAAGCAAAACAGCCTATTGCTGATAAGAAGAAAGTTTTAGTGGTCTGGATAGAAGATCCAATCAGCTGCATTTTCTTAAACCAAACCCTAATCCATGACAAGGCTCCAACTCTCTTCGATTCAATTCAGTGAGGCTGAGTGAGGTGAGAAAGCTGCAGAAAAGATGGAAGCTAGCAGAGGCTGGTTCATGAGGTTTAAGGAAATAAGCCATCTCCATAACCTAAAAGTACAATATAAAGCAGCAAGTACTGATGTAGAAGCTTCAAGTTATCCAGAAGATCTTGTTAAGATAACTGATGAGGCCAAGTGTGGTGGCTCACACCTGTAATCCCAGCACTTTGGGAGGCCGAGGAGATTGGATCACCTGAGGTCAGGAGTTTGAGACCAGCCTGGCCAATATGGTGAAACCCCGTTTCTACTAAAAATGCAAAAATTAGCCAGCGGGCACCTGTAATCCCAGTTCCTCAGGAGGCTGAGGCGGGAGAATGGCTTGAACCTGGGAGGCAGAGGTTGCAGTGAGCTAAGATGGTGCCATTGCACTCCAGCCTGGGCGACAAGAGTGACACTTTGTCTCAAAAAAAAAAAAAAGATAACTGATGAGGTGGCAACACTAAACAACAGGTTTTCAATGTAGACAACACAGGCGTCTACTGAGGGAAGATGCCATCTAGAGCTTTCATGTCTAGAGAGGAGACGTTAAAACTTCAAAACTTCAAAGGAAAGGATGACTCTCTTGTTAAGGGCTAAGGCAGCTGGTGACTTTAAGATGAAGCCAATGCTCATTGACAAATCCTAAAATTGCAGGGTCCTTAGGAATTGTGCTAAAGCTACTCTGCTGTGCTCTATAAATGGAACAACAAATCCTGGATAACGGCATGTCTGTTTACCATTATAGTATGGTTTACTGAACATTTTAAGCCCTCTGTTGAGACCTATTGCTCTGAAAAAAAATTTTTTTCTCAAAATATTACTGCTCATAGACCAGATGTCTGGTCACCCAAGAGATTTGATGAAGATATACAAAGAGATTAATGCTGTTTTCATGCCTGCTAACACATGAATTCTGCAGCCCATGGATTAAGGAGTAATTTTGACTTTCAAGTCTTATTATTTAAGAAATACATCTTGCAGCCTGGGTGTGGTGGCGCATGCCTGTAGTCCCAGCACTTTGGGAGGCCAACGCAGGCAGATCATGAGGTCAAGAGATAGAGACCATCCTGGCCAACATGGTGAAACCCTGTCTCTACTAAAAATACAAAAATTAGCTGGGTGCAGTGGTGTGTGCCTGCAGTCCCAACTTCTCGGGAGGCTGAGGCAGGAGAGTCGCTTGAACCTGGGAGGCGGAGGTTGCAGTGAGCCGAGATTGTGCCACTGCTCTCTAGCCTGAATACAGAGCAAGACTCTGTCTCAAAAAAAAAAAAAAAAAAAAAAAAAAAGAAGAAGAAGAAAAAGAAAGAAAGAAAGAAAGAAAGAAATCTTGCAAAGCTATAGCTGCCGTAGGTAGTGATTGCTGTGATGGATCTGCGCGAAGTAAACTGCAAATCTTCTGGAAAGGATTCACCATCCTAGATGCCATTAAGAACATTTGTGATTCATGGGGGGACGTCAAAATAGCAACATTAATCGGAGCTTGAAGAAGTTGATTCCAACCCTCATAGACGTCTTTGAGGGGTTCAAACTTCAGCGGAGGAAGTAAGTACAGATGTGTTGGAAATAGCAAGAGAACTAGAATTAGAAGTGAAGCCTGAAGATGTGACTGAATTGCTGCAATCTCATGAAAAAACTTTAATGTTAATATTCAGTAAGCCATTAAAAGTAATGGCAAAACCACAATTACTTTTGCATCAACCTAACAGATGAGCTGCTTCTTATGGATGAGCAAAGAAAGTGGTTTCTCAAGATGGAATCTACTTCCGGTCAAGATGCTATGAACATTGTTAAAATGACAACAAAATGTTTAGCATATTACAAACTTAGTTGATAAAACAGTGGCAGGGTTTGAAAGGACTGACTCCAATTTTGAAAGAAGTTCTGCTACGGGTAAATTGCTAGGCCAGGCGCGGTGGCTCATGTCTGTAATCCCAGCACTTTGGGAGGCCGAGGTGGGTGGATCACCTGAGGCCAGGAGTTCAAGACCAGCCTGACCAACATGGAGAAACCCGGTTGCTATTAAAAATACAAAAATTAGCCAGGTGTGGTGGCACATGCCTGTAATCCCAGTTACTTGGGAGGCTGAGGCAGGAAAATCGCTTGAACCCAGGAGGCA